CCACTGAGCTGCCTCTGGCTCCCTAGTTATCTCAGAAGCTTTTAGATTTGCCTGGCCTGTCCCATCTGGGAGTAGGAGCTCCTTGGTAGTGTGTAAAATCCTGCCTAAAACCCTTTGCGTAGTTAGTAAGGGTTTAAAGGGAGAGTTCAATGGAACGCATGTCAGCGAAGGGTCATCTGAGATGAAGGGAAGGAAGATCTTTCACAGGCTGAGTTTGAATTCCCAGCTAATAGCCAAACTGCAAAAACAGTCAAGTTGGGTTTTTTAAATTGTGTTTTGTTTCAATTTGAAGATGTCGAGTTTCAACAAACACTACATCAGCATAGTAATTAAGAAAATCCAAGTAAAATGCATATTATTTATGAATTATCATAAGCTCTGAAAAATTAAATATTAAAGTGGTAACTACAAATCCACTTATTTCTGTAAACTCAGTTAAGATGGGCTTCAATCGTGGGCAAAACATCTCTTCCCCAGTAAATTGTAATTTCCTGAAATTTGTTCCATTTCACTTTCAAATGGGGCAGGATCCAGGGATTCTGGGTTAGGCCCAGGAAAGCCGAGTCCAAACAGAAACTAAGCATCAGAAAATCATTTTGTCCAAAATCTTAGAAAATTCTTCCATTTCTAGCCTCATTTCTGGTAAAGGATTACTGTAACAGCTCAACATGCATTCTTGACTTTTGAGTTTTTTATTCCTTCCCAGAGTTTAAGAATTGTGCACTAAAAGATTTGACCTAACTCTTTTATACTTTGATGGAATCTTCCTTTTATCCTGGTAACAACTGTTAGCCCACTTTGCAAATAACCTACCGGTATTTCAGGCCATTCTCGCCCCAGTTCTGGAAATGTTCACATTCTCGCTGTACTATCTTGAGGCTTTTCTCAGTTGTCTTTTTGAATCTGTCTTCCTGAAAATAAGAACAATCACAGTCACACACATTTTATCTAAAATTTAATCCCAAACTGTAAGTCAACCTATTAAATATTTTCAAACTCTAATTATTAGAAATTACTCACTAAATTAAGGGCACTTTTTATATGTATGTGCAAAGATTTTTATTTTTCAGTTTTACATTTTTTGCTAAATTTGAAAGTTCAAATTTTTCATTATCATCTTGTACATTCTATAGAGCCTTCCAATTAGCAAAGTAAAAGTTAAATCTCATGCTGACAATGATCACGTTCAACTTTCACTTTGAAGTGGCCAGAGCAGTCACTATCTGCATTTTTAAGTAAAAAAGAAACTGACCTTGTGAAATTGACTTTCCCAGAATGAATGACCCGGCTAGTAAGTATTGCTACCGAGCATTTTAATCATGCTTATTTTTATCACTTTTTTCATTATTTAGATTTAGAAATTAAAACCTTCAATGCTACGTAGTTGTCTTCAAATATTTAATGAACTCTCTCGTGTGCCATAAAATTGGACATCTGCTGGGCAGAGTGCTAAATACTCGGGGATGGATGCTATGGCACACTTGGTATCTCATGCAGAAAGAGAATTTTCTAGCACTGAGATTCGTTTAAGGCTCAGGAACAGAACGCGTCATCAGGCACAGCGGCAGAGCAGGAGGGAGACCCGACTCTTACTCCATTGCTCAAGTTTGAATCAACCGGCTTTTATGACAAGCGGAAGAAAATTTTAAAATAAAGCAAAAAATTAAAAATAATTCAAAGGAATGAGAAATAAATAAAAAATGTACAATAATTTCTGCAACCTTTAAGGAATGAATATGGATTGATATAAAAAAACATTAATCTCAGTAGGAAAATGGGTAATAGATATGAACAAGTTGTTCACAGGAAATTTGGAAATATAATGGCTAAAATCATATGAGGAAATTTAACATCATTTAAAAATCCAACAAATGTTTGCTTAAAATACTGCTGTTGTTTTCTACATATAAAGATGGCCAAGTTAATTTCCATGTGCAATGTTGGCAAAAGCAAGGCTGGAGTGGGTGCTCTCAGGCACGC